ATTAAAACTCAGGGTTGCCTGGGTGGCTCAGTCAGCTGAGCTTCTGACTTCAGTTCAGGTCATGATTTCATAGCTCGTTGAGTTCGAGCCCTGCGTCAGGCTCCATGCCTGCAGCCTGCTTTGAATTCTGTGTCTCCCTCTCTCTCTGCCCCCCATACCCCCATTCATGCTCTGTCTCTCTCAAAAATAAATAAACAATAAAAAAAAAACAACTCAGTGGATGGCTTGACACATATTAGATACAGAAGAAATAGGAATTAGCAAACTGGAAGCCAAAAGCAAATGGGCAGACTAAAGCAAGGAAAGACAAAGTACTGGAAAATACAGAAAAGGGCATAGGTTAATTCTGATACGTAATCAAAGACTCAAAAGGAAAGAAGACAGAAAGGGGCAGAAGTCATATTTTAAAGAGATAATGGCTGAGAATTTTACACAACAGATGAAAAGCATCAAGCCATGGATTCAAGAAGCACTAGAAAACACAACCAGAATAAATACAGAAGTAGGTATATGATAGTCCAACTTCTGAAAACCAGAGACAATAAGAAAACCTTAAAAGCAACTCAGGGCAGGGAAAGAGGGAGAGAAACAAACTGTATCAAAGGAGCAGCAGTGAGATAAACACCAAACTGCTCAACAACAATAAAAGCAGCCAGAAACACTAGTTTTTTACTCTCAATGTGCTGAAAGAAAATTACCACCAATCTAGAATTCTATACTCAGCACAAATATCTTCTAAGAATGAAGATAAAGACATTCTCAGACTGACAAAAATTGAAATATCTTGTTCATAGCATTCCTGAAGTTAATAATAAAAGGCATTCTTCTGTCAGAAAAGTAATAGCCTTGGCTGGAAGCTCGAAGATGCAAAAGGAAATGAAAAGTAACAAAAAAGGAAAATGTTAGCCAAACATAATGAATACCAACTATATAATAATCTCTCCTGGGGTTTAAAATATATGCATAATTTAAAAAAAATGAGTGTGCAGACACTGCTGTTTGCCTATCCAATACCCTTCTCCATGTCTATCTTACCACAACTTTTTTTGGAGAGGTAATATGCCCAAGCAAAACAATCATATTTGTCAGTCTTCCCTGCAGCAAAGGGTGGCCATGTGACACAGGGGTTAGAATCAATGGGTGAGTCTTCCAGGAAAGCTCTTTAAAAGAGGGGAACCTCAGCTAAGCTGACATGTGTTAACTTTAACACAGAAGCAACACTGGAGGTGAAGCAGTCATCTGGTGACCACAAGGTGACAAGCATAAGGAAAAAAGCTAAGAGTGGCTGAGTGAATGATAAGAAGGAACTTGAGTCCCTGATGGCATAACAAAGCCTGTGTAGCAGCTACAGACTGCCTGCCTCTAGGCTTCTTGCTGCGTAAGCAAAATAAAGTCCCATTTGGCCATATCACTGAAGATGTCACATACAGCCCAGTGCAATTTCTATCACATGGGATTCATGCATTGTCTTACAAAATGTTCACAGTTAAGATTAAAACCTACTAACAGAATAAAAGCATGAAGGTCCCAAAGGCCCCCACCAAAATGTTTATTTTTCCTTATCATCAGTTACCAAATAATTCCAGGAGAGGTCAATTCCAGAAGGATGCAGAGACGTAGCCCCAAAGATCACATGACAAGTTCCCCCCAGGCCAATGAATCAGACCAGGCTTTTCAGTCTTGTGTTTTTGAGGACAGAAAGAACAACACAATGCTCAGAAGAGTCAGGCCAAGAAAAGGCCAAGGGAGACACGAAAGCTTTCTTTGTTTAAATAACCATGTCTAAACAGTAAACTCACCCGTCTGGATGCTGCAAAACAGAAACCATCAATTCCACTGCCAAGGCTCCTGCAATCATGGCCAGTCCTGGACGACTCACAGTGCACTGCTGGTCCAAGGTCCGGTCTCTGGTTGACTACAGAGAAAGAATCATTGATGTGTGCTCAAAGTTCTAGTCCACTCAACTGTCACTGTTTGAAGCATGAAACTCGTCCGTGATAAAGAGATACAACATAACCAGATACTCACTCACTGTGGGCAAAGAACATTCAGCCTCAAATAACATCATCTCTTGTAAGTACCAAGAAAACAAAACACATAACTTAGGTAACTGAGGTAATATGCTAAAAAGGAGTAATAGTTATGAACAAATTAAAGATTAGGGGCCTAACTGCCTCATACATGGAGTTGCACCATATGCTCTTTTAACTGATTCAAATTCAATCCTACTGTGCTTGATAGCTGAGGAACAGAGACATGGAGAGGAATAATTATTTGAATAGCACAAATGATTCTACCCTGCCACTGTAACTGAGCCAATGCCTCAGAGTTCCTGTGAGGCAGGACAATAAATAACATGCCTTTCCTGCAGTCCTCAGTTCCTATGTGCCTCTCACAGTGTGGGCATTGTGTCCCCCTGAATGTGACCCCTGGGCTGAAATACAAATAGTTTTGCTATGACAGGGCTTCAAACACAAATCGTCTTTAGTTGCAACTAAAGAAATTCTGATCTTCCACCTTTAGGCAAATTAAGAGGTTGTTAGGGATAATTTTGAGTCTGAAATTTTCACCTTATGAACAACTTTACTCGACCCATAATCCTACTTGTTGATAATGAGGAAATAATGGGACCAGCTGTATAATACCACTGATGAAGATCATAAAGTCAGCCTTCTTCACATGGAGAATATTTATCTTTTTTTCTTTATACTGGGAGGCCATAAAAACCAGTCATCCAAAAGAGGTAGGAGTTATTCAGGAACAAGTTTTTTGTTTTTGTTTTGTTTTTTTTTTTTTAATTTTTTTTTTTTTTCAACGTTTATTTATTTTTGGGACAGAGAGAGACAGAGCATGAACGGGGGAGGGGCAGAGAGAGAGGGAGACACAGAATCGGAAACAGGCTCCAGGCTCTGAGCCATCAGCCCAGAGCCCGACGCGGGGCTCGAACTCACGGACCGCGAGATCGTGACCTGGCTGAAGTCGGATGCTTAACCGACTGCGCCACCCAGGCACCCCAGGAACAAGTTTTAAAAGAAGGGGAAAATGAAGAGGAGGGTAGAGAGATACCTATGCTTTGCTTCACTGTGAATGATGATCTGTTCTGGTAAGAGACCATTCCTACAGACTGTGCCTTGTGTGGAGGCACTAACACTATAGGTAGAATCTTACATTTGAACAGTGTACTGCTTACTGTTCAGAGCACTTTCACTTTTTTTTTTTCAACGTTTTTTATTTATTTTTGGGACAGAGAGAGACAGAGCATGAACGGGGGAGGGGCAGAGAGAGAGGGAGACACAGAGTCGGAAACAGGCTCCAGGCTCCGAGCCATCAGCCCAGAGCCTGACGCGGGGCTCGAACTCACAGACCGCGAGATTGTGACCTGGCTGAAGTCGGACGCTCAACCGACTGCGCCACCCAGGCGCCCCCAGAGCACTTTCACTTTTGACCCACCTTGCACTATGAGTAGTCAGGGAAAGTATTCTTCCCTCCCTTACTGGGGTTGGCAGATAAAACACAAGATGCCCAGATAAATTTGAACTTCAGATCGACAAGAAATATTTTTTTAGTATGAGCAGGTCTTGAATATTGCATGGGACAAATTTACACTAAAATATTGTTTACCTGAGATTCCAAGTTAACTGGGAAGCCCATATATTTTCACTTGCTAAATCTAACAAGGGGCCCAACCTGATTCTGCAGAAGCAAAGAAAGCGTAAGAGCCTTATTTGGAATCACCCCATGAGGCAGTGTCCAAGTCTTCAGACCCCTTACTTAATGCTCTCTTCAAAGGAGACAGTGCTTCAGGGACCAGTCTATCCTGCAGTTTCCCTGCTAGGCTTTCTACAAAAGTGGTTGGTCACTATGTTTACATTAGTGAACAAGGAACAGCTGTGCACAGTTGACGACGCCAATCAAGGCTCATGGTGGGATAATGTCACCCCCCAAATTGGAGAATTCTTCTCTTTGTTAAAAGACAGTATTTAAATAGTCATAAAAGAAAGTCGGGCCTCTTTGCCCCAGTGGACAAGACAGTTGTAGGAAATATTTGGAAGCACAGAGAAATCCACTTACATCTCCTGGGGCCACCACATCATTGCAGAAATAGCAGCCAAGTTTGTAGCCGGGTATGTTGGCAAAAAGCGATGAGCCCAGGAGGTCGGCAGGTGCCACAAGGTGGCCAGGACACAAGTCCCCAGCTCCTTGCTGCTTAGGTTTCTTCAAGCCGTGTCTCATGACAACAAATGTGTCAAACCCCAAGGCAGCATTGATGACAAGCTGTGGATTTCAAGGAATAAAAGTCTAGAGTTAAGAGACACTTGTATTTTAAGCTGTGGCTAATTTCATACTTGGTCAACTTTCAGAATTTATTTTATAAGTAATTGTGTATGAGTATAATTAGAGTCTTGGAAGCCAATACTAGTAAAAGCTACCCAATACTGAGGATTTATTAAGTGCACACACACACAAAAAACCCTTGACCAGTAATTAACAATAATTATCTCATTTGGTTTCATTTAAAACTCCCAGCACACATTTCCAATTACAGATGAGGATCCTGAAAGTCAGACAGAGCAGTCAGCTCACTAATATGCCCAAGGTCACTTAGCTGGTAAGAGGTAAATGCATCAAACCAAGTCTAGAGAGTTCTCAACCTCATTCTTTCCACCATATGCTATCATCTGACACGCCTACATAGATTTTCTTTTTTTATAACAGCTTCACTGAGATATGATTCACACACTATGCAGATTTTTAAGGACGATTGTTTTCTCATTTGTACTAGAAGAACTTCTCTTACTTATAACTTATTCTCTGAAATTTCTGGTTATAAAGAAAGTTGGAAAATAAAGAAAAACTGTAACAGAAAAAAAAATCACAATCTCATGGCTCAAACACTTATTACTAATAATTTGGGGTATTTCTTCCCATTGTTTTCTCCCTTCTTGCCTCCCCTCCTGACCTCCTCGCCCAGATACAAATGTGTATGTGTTTATATAAACAATTTATATTAAATATATACAATATCATATCTTGCTTATTTAACATAATGTGGTATGTTCCATGTTATTAAAGTTTTTTAAAACACGTTGTGCATGGCTGCGTATTATTCCATCACATTTATGTACTAGGATTTATTTAACCATTCACTACTGTTGGCCCTTGAATGTGTCACTGACCAAAGAGTAAATAAGAGCGTCTTTGTCCTCTTGGACAAAACTTATGTTTAAAAAAAGATTTTTTTGGGGCGCCTGGGTGGCGCAGTCGGTTAAGCGTCCGACTTCAGCCAGGTCACGATCTCGCGGTCCGTGAGTTCGAGCCCCGCGTCAGGCTCTGAGCTGACGAAGGGCTCAAACTCTTGAGCCAGGAGATCATCATGACCTGAGCCAAAGTTGAATGCCCAATCAAGTGAGCCACCCAGGTGGCTTACGTTTTAATGTAAGTAGAATATCCCTTTGAGATACAGTGTCTCAAAAGGTTCCTATGAAAATTAAATAGTAAAGAATAACTATTATACTGGACGGTGGTGTGTGAGGCAAAGACAGCACGTACCAGCGGAAGCCCTTTGGCACCATGTCACTGGGTCACACACAGCACATCTCTCTTCTGGAAGGAAGGCAGACAGAGGACACCTCTCCCTCCAGGGTGATGGTACATTAAGTCACAACCAGAAACAAGAGCCCAGGATCCACACACTCTACCTTTCTTTTGCTCGCAGCAATGACGGCAGGGAGCCAGCGGCTCTCTCTGGTGTCCATCAACAGGAACACGACATCATGGCTTTCGATGAGCTGCTCCAGGTGCTCCACGTCTTTGCGGGCCTGCTCCAAGGTGACGCTGGAAAAGTTCACTGGGTGTCCAGGCATGGGGATGCTCATGTTGAACCCTCTGGCATTCTAGGGAAAAACCCAGATATACGGATGTCTGAAGCAAACACAGGTGGTATCTCAGAGCCTGTGTCTCCCCATAGCTACGAACATGTAAGTGTGGTCAGTTGCAACCAGAAATTTCTCTGTGCACGATCATGCTGCTTGTTCCTTTTGCTACCCGTGCCCTGACCTTCTTCACCTCTACATCCTAGACTATCTTATCCTGTCATCCCCAGGTCTCTGAGCCTGGATGTATATAGCAGCAAGTAGAGACATACGGATCCTAGTTCCAAAGGAGGGAGGCACGTCCATCTGAGCCAAGGAGGACACTGAAGAAAATGGTGCCTTTGACTTTTTCCTATAATCTGAGGCCAGGAACCTCTATCAAAATGCCCTGTGTCTGCCCAAGTCCCCTCTGTCTAGCTGAGTTGTTTCTCCCTACTTCTTCCCAAATTGCCCCCCACCCCGATGATTTTCTTAGTGCATAGCATCTCCAAATAGGATATTATAACAGAAAACATTTGATTTAATAAATTTATATAAGATTAGTATGACTGACTGTGTTAATCTTCTTAGGGGTATATGCATTTTTAAAAAACCTCTCTAAACCAAAAACTGTACTTGCTAACTTACAATCAGAAAATCTACTTAGGAGTGTGCAGATATTTGTTTGAGAGGGAAAGGGACAGGGGCTGAGCTGTAGCAGAGTGTGGTACTGAAGTGAAGCTTCATTCCTTGTCCAAAGAAGTTACCTGGTGGCCTGGGTTCTCCTCAGGGGCTTTAGGACAGCTCTGTAATTTACTATTTGTCCCCTGCTGGCCCCACAGTGTCTTGGCAGATTAACAGTGAGTCACATATGGGTGTCAGTGAAGTCAGGGACATTAACTGTCCACAGAAAAGAAAGTGTTGTAGAGTCACAAACTACATACACCCTTAATCCCCTGCATAGTGCTGGCCACAAGTAGGAGTGTGAAAACATCAACTTTCTCGTTCATTTGCCAAAACCCGTCACCTACTAGAAAAACAGCTCAGGGGGCAGAATAAGTAGGTGCTTTTACAAAGGAAAATTCTATTTTGTGGATTGTAGCTATTTTCTCCTTATCTTAAACTTTGAACCTAATCTCTGGAATTCAAGAAAGTGACAGTGGTAGCAAAGGCAACAATATTTAAAAGAATGAAAAAAAAAACGTTGCAAGCAAAGCAGGAAAAGACACCAAGCAGAAAGGACTTCAGAAAGCGTTCAAAACAAGTCCAATTTGGCAATGAAAACATTACAAAGACAACTATCTGGACCTCATTAAGGAATTCACTCATTAAGTATCATGTATATACTCAATACTGTGGTAAACAATAAGCAAAGACCACAGCAATGTTAATACCTTACTGTTGTATTACAATTGACAAAGCATTTGAGAAGATGGTAGCTTGATCTTGGTATTATTTAGGTACATTAGTGACACCAAAGCATAATTAATCAACGCCAATTTTGACCTTTTCAGTAACACAGATCCACACCCACTTTACTAACCTAAATCGTTCTCTGCTTGCTAAAATTGCAGCCAGCAAGCCTCTGTAGGACTGGCTCTCAGCCCACCATTTGGTCCACACGCCTGAGGCCGGAATTTGGCAAGTTTCAACACAGCAGTTTTCAACCTTGGCTGTGCGTTAGAACCACCCAAAGAGTTTTGAAAATTCCTGATACCCAGGCTTCTCCCCAGACTATCTCAACTGGAATTTCTGAGAGGGGACCCTGCCATCAATATTTTCTCAAACTACCCCCATGATTCATATGTGTAGTCAGGGTGAAGTATGGTTTACAGAAGAGTGTAATACATAGATTTTAAGTGTACAGTTGGCTGTGTTTCAACAAACTGCAGGTGAACCACTGCATATATCTTAAGACACAGGACATTTTCATCACCCCAGAATGTGCTCGTGTGCCCCTTCCCAGTCAATCCCCACTACTCCTCACCGCCACTGGGACAACCATTGATGCAACCACCTTTTAAACCCTAGATTAGTTTTTGCCTATTCTAGAACCTCATATAAATGATATCCTATGGTATACATCTGTTGGTGTTTGGCTTCTTTTGCTCAGCATAATGCTTCTGAGGTGTGCCCATATTGTTAAGTACCAAGAGCATGCTCCTTTGTGCATTGTGAAAATACCTCGATTTGTTTATTCAATCTCTCACTGACAGCTATTTGGGTTATTTCTAAATTTTGGCCATTAGGAACAAAGCTGCTATGGACATTCTTCCATAAGTGTTTTAGGGTATATATGTTTTCGTTTCTTTTAGGTAAACATCCACGAGTGGGATTTCTGGGTAATTAGGTAGGTGTAGCTTCATGAGAACCTGTTAAGCTGATTTACAAAGTGGTTGTTTTAGTAGCAGACTGAGTTCTGGTTGCTCCACAGCCTGACAACATTCAGCCTTGTCAGTCTTTTTTTTTTTTTTTTTTTTTTTTAATGTTTATTTTTGAGAGAGACACAGAGTGTGAGTGGGGGAGGGGCAGAGAGAACAGGACACACAGAATCCGAGGCAGGCTCCAGGCTCCGAGCTGTCAGCACAGAGACCGATGCGGGGCTTGAACTCACAAACTGTGAGATCATGACCTGAGCCAAAGTCGGACGCTCAACCGACTGAGCCACCCAGGTGCCCCCTGTCAGTCTTTTTAACTTGACCCACTGCAGTGGGTGGATAGTGATAGATCTCCATGGTGTTAACTCATATTTTCCTGAGACTACAAAAGTTGAGCGTTTTTATGTGTGCCCTGGCCATTTATAGATCTTCACTATGAAATCAGTACCTCCACAATCTGTCCCCCTTAAAAAAAGACTTGTCTGTCCTTTTATTACTGAGTGGTAGGGGTTGTTTATGGATTCTGGGGAACAGCTTCTTGCCAAATAGACCTACCCTGTGTATTTTCTGGGTTTTGGCCATCTTTTTCATTCTGTTAATGGCACCTTTTGAGAAGCAGATGTTTTAGGTTGTGTGTGTGTGTGTGTGTGTGTGTGTTTGTGTGTGTGTGTGTGTGTGTTTTATGTTTATTTTGAGAGAGAGGGAAAGAGACAGAATGAGAGAGAGAGAGGCAAAGAAGAGGGAGACAGAGAATCCTAAGTATCTCACAGAATAGAGCCCAACTCAGGGCTTGATCGCATAAACTGTGAGATCATGACCTGAGCCAAAATCAAGAGTCAGATGCTTAACCAACTGAGCCATGCATGTGCCCCTGAAAATTTTAGGTTTTGATGAGATCCACGCTACCCATTTTTCCACTTATGGTCAGTATTTGCTGGGTACTAGATAATCTCTGTTTATCACGAGAGCACTATGCTGCTTTCTGCTGGAAGCTCTGTGGTTTAGCTTTTATGTGTAGTTCTGACCTTACTGGGGTGTCACCTAAGGGCTCAGGGTGTTCAATAAGGGAGCTCCATTCTGGATAGGTGGGTCTCCAATGTCTCATGGCCTTGGGGTAGCTCTGAAGTCTCCATTCCACTCACAACAGATGGTGGTGCTTTTTTGCCCGGCTTTACAGAGTCATGCCCTGAACACACGTGACTTGAACTGGTCAAAGGCTCAAGATGCTCCAGACTCCTCCTCTGCCCAGCTCCTGCATGTCTGATACTCTGTCCTGCATGTTTCAGCCCCCTTAGCTGCTCTGAACTCAGATCTCAGTTTCCTCAGCTCATCAAACCCAAGAACATCTCCTTGGGCTCCTCATGGGCTCTAGCAAAGGCCAGAAAGTACCTCCATGCAATGGGCTGGGACAAACATTCCTTCTTTCCCTTCTGTCTAGGACCATGGCCTTTCACTACTCCACTGCCTGGAGAGAGTCATTTTATATATTTTACCCGGCTGTGTAATTGTTTATGATAGAAGAGCTGGTCCAATACCAGTTACTCATCAGGGTTGTAAACAGATGTCCAGAGTTGGGTTTTAAAACCTCTGGTGTGGTTCCACAATCCTACATTGCCTTGTATTTAAAAAAAAACAAAAACAAAAACGGTAATCTCAAATATTTATTTGATTTTTTAAAGGTTACTTTGTTTCCGACTCAATTAATTCAACCCCGGGATTAGACAGGGTATTTGTAGCAGAGCAGTTCTTTTCACATCTTGTTCACTTAGGACTAGCCTGTGTCTGTAGCCTGGTGTAAGGGGATGAGTAAGTATCTGCTGAATGAAAAAACTACACCAAACTGAACATACAAAGAAAATGCCGTAAGTCTGGGTAATTGTCAGGTGAAATAGTTTCACAAGTACTTTGCAGGAAATTGATGGATTACACTAGTACTTTAATGGATTCTGTACATTATCTATTATTGCTTACAAGGCAGGAAGGATGAAAGTATAAAAACCCTGGCTCCTGGCCTCCAGGACTGAATAACCCAGTAGGGAAAACACAGTAGCACAATGTAAGTGCTGAAGAGGAGGTTCAACCCTGGTAAGCTGATGGTTTCAAGAAAAGGTGAACTTGATCTCAAAGGCCCAGAGTGACCCGGCCCTTGCTTCTGCCCTAGCCCCTTCTCTGTCTTCCTTGACGTTAGTGCTCCCCTTCCTGGTTTTCCTTCAGTTCCACAGAAGCACCATGCTGTCTCCTGCCTCAGGCGTTTGCAGACAGCTCTGCTACCCTTCATCCAGCTGACTCCCATTCACTCATCCTTCAGGACTTAGCTTCCTCAAGGGAGTCTAGCTTAGGTCAGGCTGCCTGGTAAACGCCCTCACAGAAACCGAGCTCCTTTTTCATGCACTTAACAATTACAACTGTTGGGGCGCCTGGGTGGCGCAGTCGGTTAAGCGTCCGACTTCAGCCAGGTCACGATCTCGCGGTCAGTGAGTTCGAGCCCCGCGTCGGGCTCTGGGCTGATGGCTCAGAGCCTGGAGCCTGTTTCCGATTCTGTGTCTCCCTCTCTCTCTGCCCCTCGCCCGTTCATGCTGTCTCTCTCTGTCCCAAAAATAAATAAACGTTGAAAAAAAAAATTAAAAAAAAAAAATTACAACTGTTTACAAAATTAGGTGTTAGGGACCATGTACCCCTCTGGACTATAGAAGCTCCACGGAGAGGAGAGAGAACTTTTCCTGCTTGTGCCCCAGTCCCTAACATACGGAAGGCCTGAAATATTTAATAAGTAACAGAACAGCTGTACAAATAAATAGGGGGGACTGCATTGGGTCACAGACCATTTGCACAAGGAAAAATTTCAGGCAACTAGAAAGTAGCTGAATTCAGATTCAAAGCCAGGTCTGTCTCGGCCCTGAGGGGAGCTCACTCTCCAGTGACAGACTGGATTATTCTTCCCAACTATGCACTGCCTCCCACTAATAGAATGTCTTTGCCCTTTGCCAGATGACTTTGCAGGACCTCCCACTAGAAAGGCAGAGTATTCTGACAAACCCCACTGACTTTGCGCTTGGCCCTGTGACTGGCTTGGGCATATAAATGGAAGATGCTACACTGTGTCACTGGTGAGCTGAGGTTTTAGAGGTATAATAAGTTTTCACCAATCCTTTTACACTCCCACCTTCTACCAGAAGAAGAGCATGACCCAGACTGTTGCTCTGTAAGCCCAGATTTTAAAACAATGACTTACAGAGCAAATTGGAACCTGACTTAAAGCCTGGAGTCCAGCCTAGCCCAGCAGCTAAGCTACAGTCAATCTGCAGACCTGGGAGCCTGAGATAAATGCTTATAATAATAAGGCAGGGAGAGGTTAGGACTGTGTGATATGCAATAATGTGGCAGAAAGCTAACTAATACGCCTCCTCAATTGACAGGGTTGTAACATTTTTATTTCTTTTTGGCCTCTAGCACTTAACTGGATACACAGTGGGCGCTTAATCATTAGTGTTGAATTAAACCCAATAAACCATGCTCCTCAAGATTGCTGGTGAAATGAACAAAACCATCAATGTTGCTTCTTTTCAAGCAAAAGATTCTGAAATAATCTTTTCATATATATTCATATATATGAATATTCATATATATATTCATCATATATGAATATATATATATTCATATATATATTCATTATATATGAATATATATATATTCATATATATATTCATATATAATGAATATAATACTGAGTGATTACACAGAAAAACTTTGAGAAAGTGGGCTATCTTTTAGCTGAGGCCGAGAGCCTCTTGTGGCACTAAGTGGTAGCAGATGCTTCGGAGATATCTAACCTAACTTCTGTCAGACCAACTGATTAAGTGTGCAAGTTGCAGATTCTCTTTTGTGGATGACCTCAAAAAAAAAAAAAAAAAAAAAAAAAAAAAAAAAAAATCTTGCCAGATTTTGAATCAAATGAGTTGAATGACTTGTCTCTTATTATCTAGTGTGTTTTTAAAGGGAACAGTCTGATTCAAATACAAGCAGCTCAGGTAGCCACATCATCCTTCTGTGTGGACTTACATCCAATTTAATTTCATAAACCTGTATTCAGTAACTATTGAGTATTTTGGTGATGAAGGAAAAATAACATCCTGTATCTGAGCTATCATAAATCCCTTTCGGGGCACCTGAGTGGCTCAGTTGGTTAAATATCCGACTTCAGCTCAGGTCATGATCTCACAGTTCGAGCCCCACGTCGGGCTCTGTGCTGACAGCTCAGGCCTGGAGCCTGCTTCGGATTCTGTGTCTCCCTCTCTTTCTCTATCCCTCCCCCACTCATGCTCTGTCTCTCAAAAATAAATAAACATTAAAAAAAATTTAAAAAAAAATAAATCCCTTTCAAACAAAGCTGGATATAAATATATGCATACTCCCAAATTCCTCAACTTAAACTCAGGTAATACTTTGCCACTCACAAAAACATTTTCTCACTCTTCATTTCATTTTCACAATAATAAACACGAGTTTTGTTTTGTTTTTTAATCCCCATCTCTGAGATGAGGAGAGGCTTAGCCATATGATGAAGGCCCAGGTAGTAAGTGACAAACATCTGACTCTCTTTTACCAATACCACAGGCCCTCATTCCCCAAGATTAAGCACGGAAAGCTACAGGAGAAAACCTCCAACATTCCCGAATAGCATCAACATACCACTCCAGGGAATATTTTCTGGAGCCGCTCTGCTGCAGCCAGGGCCTTGGGCTTACCACCTGCTAGGCAATCTTCAAATTCATAGAGAGGCTGCCTCACAGGATTGGAGTAGGAGATGTTGGCATTGTCCACAAATGTGATGTGTCTGACACCCCAACCCTGCATGGAAACAAGAGATCATGGTGTGTTTCTGATGAACATTTCACAGGGTGTCTCTCTTGCGACCTATAAAGAGGTTTAGTTTTGGAATAGCTTGGGAATCTCAAAATACAGGAAACTTTAGAAACTGAATTGTGCAAATTCAGTTTTTGATTAACAGAGGGCCAGCTTCCTTTAAAAGACAAAAATAATTATATACCCGGTGCCTAGTTTCCTGCAGTAATGAATCTAAGAAATGTCAGAGTGGGTCTAATAAGTCATTATTTTTGACAGTGGCACCAGAGAAAGAGTTGGAGGTGAGTCCCATGAGAACTGTCTATGTTGCTGTCTTAAAAGAATTAGCGATAAGCCCCCAAATGTACTTGCTTTCCCTTAATGAGTAATTAAATATAAATAACAGCTCACATTAAAACTCACTTAAAGCCTGAATTAATGCCTCAGAAAAATGACTTACAAGTTATTTTCTGTTGTATAACATCGCAGAAGATTTTGTACTACTGAAGACGTAAAGGGCTTGTTAATATTCGGTAATACAGGGGACAATTCTATATTCTCTCAAATAGTTTGCATGATTTCATACACTTTAATTATAATTCCTTTAAAGTATTATAGAACCACACAATTTTAAACTGAGATGGCATCTCTAACATCCTTAGTCCAACTGTTTTGTTTCACAGATACGCAAAGCGTAGACCAGAAATCACTGAAGGTCATAGATCTGGTTAATGGTGGGAAGGGTTGAGATCCTGAGAGTTGCAACCAAATAGAGATGACTGCTTTCTGGAGGGTGGGGTGTAGTGTGTGCATCTCAGCATATCATAAATAGGCACAGTGATCAAAGAGAAGCCCCTGCCATGATTGGCTACAAAGCTAATTCTGCTCTCTCTCTTATTTCAATAGCCTTCCATTAGGGACTCTGAAATTCAATTATACTGACGGTTCCCAGGGGACAGTCAACTAGTACCCAAGATTCATTTTCAGGGTTGAGAATGAAAGGACAGAATCCATCCTTTCAAAAGCACAGTTTTTACATTATTGGTTTTGAAAGCCCACTGGTAAACTCAGATCTACTCATTCAGTTTTGTAAGTGACTTTCATCAGCTAAGCAACCTACTGTGGAGGTGGAATAAAGACAAGGACAACCCAAAAGTCACTTGTGCTTGGTTTGAGGACATTTACTTCTCAAGTGTTTTTACATTCCTTAAAGCAATGCTGAGAGGACTGCAAGGAAGGCAGTCTGGGAACATACTGGGCAGTGGGAAGAAAGCCAAATAAATTACAAACATACTATGGGTTAGCCACATGTGAGTGTGGGTTTGCACTTAACTTTTGGCTTCCTGGGATGCTACACGGTTTAAATGGCTAATCTGTAAAGATTAAAGGAAACGATAATACTCATTGAAGAAAATGATAATACCCAGTGCTGGTGAGGATGTGGAGATGAAAAAACTATTGCACGAGTTGAGAATGTAAACTGATCTAATTTTTCTGGAAAGCAATTTGGCAATATGTGTCTAGAATCTTTCAAATGTTCATATCTTTCAACCTACTTGTAGCAATATATCCTAAGAAAATACTTACAGCAACCTATCCTAGGAAGTAATCTGAAATATGAACAAAAATGCTCCACAACATAATTTATAGTTGTAAAATATTGGAAACATATTAATGCCTACCATTAGGGGAGTGTCTCAGTACATTATATTCATCATAGAAGAAGGCATATTCTAGTCATTAAAAATGCTTTATAAGCATCATTTCTAATGACATGAGAAAGTGTTTACAAGGGTAACAGATAAATTAGCAAGGAGCATTATTATAAATCAAATAAAAATTTTAAATATGTATTTAACAAACATTGAAAGGAAGTAAGTGAAAAAGTGGTAGGAAAATGGGTATCTTCTTTTCCTGCTTCGTAACTTTTATACTTTACAAATTTTCTATAGTGGGTCTCTGCTGACTTTATCATTTTTAAAAATATTAAGAAAACCTAAGCACCTAATTATGGAAGCCAGAAAAAGAATAATAAAATAAATTCCACAAAGAGAGGAAGATTATTAATGAAGATAAAAATAGATGTTAATGAATCTGAAAGCAATACAAAACAAAAACAAAAACTATAGAACTAAAAAATAAATCAAGGACTTAGCCCTCCAAAAAGAATGATACAGTAGACAAGGCTCTCTGGCAAGTCTGAATAAGAGAAAAAAAGAGAAAACATACACATGCAACATTAGGAATGAGGAAAGATTTTTTAAAAGATAGAGTTTTAAAAGATGCTAAGAGAATACCATATGTATTTTGTGTCAATTAATTATAAAATCACATGAATAGAATAAAATTCACAAAGGAAACAAAATTAAAGATTCACCCTCACTAGTAAAAGAAAAGCAAATTAAAAAGTCATATATGCTTCTAAAAGTACAGGCTCGTAAAATGTTTTGGGAAGGTGATTTAGTTTGAAAAAAACCCATATATACGTATTATATATAGTATGTATATATAGTATATATAGTATATAGTATATAATATATATATATTATAGTATATATAGTATATATTGTGTATAGTATATATATATATATGTGTGTATATACTATACATATATATATACACAGTATACACACATATACATATAGCATACACACAATACATCCTCTCTAACATAATAATTCTACTTATAGGGATTTCTGCCTAAACAAATAATCCCATAGATATGTAAAGATCTAAAAATGTTCATTTCAACAGTATCTCAAAAAAATATGCTGAAATCGAAATAAAGTGAGGGCAGAGTCATACAACAAAATACTACATATACCAAATATAGAACATACAGAGAGCCACAATTACTTTTCTATTGAGTTAAGAATAAAAACCTGTTACAGACAGTATGCTATGATCCAATTTTTGCAAATATAAATAAATGACAGCAAAGGTGACAAATGTCCCTCTCTTTATTTGCAAGTGCCTATGAAAACGTCAGGGAAGGACATACTGTGTACTAATCTAGGAAGTCTGCTGAATTCTGGGAAGTGGGACGAGAGGAGGGTGGAGAAAGACCTTCTGTTTCTACTTTGTGATAAAAGTATGAATTCCTTTTATAATAAAAAGATAACCGACAAAAGAAAAAAGAAAGGGAAAGAGGGAGGGAAGAAGGAAGGATGGGAGGGAAAGAGGAGTAGGTAACTCTGGGAGGAGGAAAGCAATCTGGTATATTAAGATAAGAGGAGAAGCCACAGCTTCAGAGGTACCATTTGGCCCCCACAAACTTACCATCAGTGTCCTAGCGACATTACAACCCAAGGTGCCGGCTCCAAGCAGCAGACACTTGACAGACACAACCTTGTCTAAGTCCAGAGTAGGGACCAATCTCCAACACATCAATTTGAGATTTAAATCCACTGATGACTCAGCTAACCTAGAAAACGACAGAATTATTTATCCATTCAGTCACTCATTTATGCCCCAATCTTGTCTTAAAAAGATAGAAAGCATCTGAATAAGAAAATGAGGACCAAATCCTAACTAAGCAAAATGAGATCACAGGGAAAATAAGATGAAGCATGAGGGCAACAGCGAGGAGAAACAGCACAGCACATGTGCCCGTGTGGATCTCCGTAACTGCTACTGACAGGCCACAAATCTGATACCGAGTCCCTAGCAGCCAAAGTGAAAATGGAAGCATGACCACTTGGAGGAGTCACTGGCCCCTCAAAAAAGGGTGCACTTTTATCCCTTAAACACAACACTAATTTCTATGAAATATTTCTTATAACGTCCTTCAATGTAGGCTAATAGGATGAAATTAAAAGGCCACGAATAAGGACTACAAGGTAGCATGTATCTGTAACTAACTAGTTTGAGAGACTCAAATCAAAGCAAGAACAAAATTTATAATGTCTAGAAGACCAGATGAACTGTGTGCCCTTCAGGACCTCCATCAGGTGGTTAATTCTCACAACCACACTTAAATCAAGTCAGGCAGCAAAGAGTGGAGTAACACTCATTGTCAATGTGAATGGTACCCCCTGCACTGATGTGAGCGATGTGGTTGGCCTGACAGAACCTGCTGTGTGTCCTCATTACCAACGGTCCCCTTGGGAGAAAACAGCTTCCAAAATATACCTTTTAGGGTCCATACATTCACTGAGGTTCACCATCCTCGGTCCCATGCCGCCTTTCTGGTTTTTTTCCCATCCGACTGCTTTGGGACAATCTTAAGGCAAATAAAATAGTACGTTTAATGAAGGAGGGACGAATAAAAACATGTAAGTCAAGTGGCAAGATGGCGCACACATTAAGAAGCTTTCAGTTCACTTCTTTCTCAAAGCGGCTCAGGGACCTGAATTTGCATGTACTTGAAGCAGTTGCTCAACACCTTCCTCTACTACCAGGACCCTCGCTGAGAGATCACCAGGGTTTTCCTGCAGAGGGGCTTCTGAAATAGCCCTGGACTCTGGCCTGAGCCGCCTCAACTTCTGCAGTTCCTGGGAGCTGCTCGAAAAAAGACAACCCAACTTGGGATAGGTATAACCCGGTGCAAGGCTCTCTTATCTGCGGAAGACCAGCCAGCATGACTGCAGCACACTTTCTGCTGAGCTTCCCATCAGGATTTGAACCTCTATGTTCAGTGCATCCTTTCCGTTCCTCATCCTTACCACAGCACTCTGCTCTGCCTCTCAACCCTGTCTCTGCGCACCTATCCTGTCCCTTTGTTAAGCTGCCCTCTCCTTTAAGCTCATCCTTATCTAGTCAGTCTTTCCCCTTCCCTGACTTCTCTCTTCTCTACCAACTTCTTTTAATCTCTGCAGTTGGTGCCTCTGAATTTCCAATCCCAGTTCTTGAAGTGTGCTACAGGCAATGCTGTGTAGCAGCATTGGAGGATAAGGATCCTGTGGCTGCTCTATTCTATTATTACAAAATCCTCTTATAAGTCTCACTTTCTTACCTTAATGGTAACCTGACTTCCTTGCCGGCAATCTGCTAATGGGGGGGCCATTCACTCTATTACCCTCTTCACATCTTAGGACCTCTGTTACTCTCCCTTTCTCACCAAGTACCTGAGATTCACAAGAAACCCTCTACTCTGTAACAGGGAATTCACTCAGTCACAATCTACCCTGCCAGCGTCCCCTCCAGTATCTGCCTTAAGTAACAGTCTTTGAAGGAACAGAAACTCCTGGACTTAAAGATGTACAGGACTACTGGGAAGAAGTCTATGTTTCTAATTTGTATTCTGGTGTTCTTTGGCCATTCTCCTACTTTTAGATGGCTGTCAACACTTCTATTTTCCTTTCCTTGGGAACTTTTCCACGTTTGACCTTAGTTTTTAAAAATAGTATTGCTCAATATAATTATGGGACCTAGAAGGTGTAGATTTCCTTGACACAATCTTTCCTTTCTGCGATAGGATGACCAAGGGAAAACCTTGGGGCCAACTATCCTCAAAAGCTACTTGGGCCACAGGATGGCTGGACATATCATTCACAGTGAGGAGCCAGAAAACAAATGTCCCTTCCCATTATAACTCAGGCACTCTGATGCACGCATGTGTGTGTTTTTTTAATATAACAAAAAATTAGAACTGATGTAATAGATTTGAGTTCTTAAAAAAGGTTAAGAGTTCAAAATTCTTTTTTCTGGGGAAGGAGTTCAGACATGCTACTAATTCATATTTTGTCTGCTTTTCTCACTAGTCTTACATTTAATTTCAAAAAAAAAAAATGCATCCCTAACATATAGCCAAAAACTTGAAAAGAACTTCAAACCACACAGTCTAGTTCTGCAATTAATAACCCTGGCCTAAGCTTTCTCCTGTTACAGATAAGAAGTCATGGTACAAATAAAATCTCATTTCAAGTGAAAACATCTCTGTTCTCAAAATGTTACAGCCATTTCTAAGAAAATTAGACATACCTTAAGCTTATTAATAATGAAAAAAATATACTTGATCTATCCTATCTGCCTCTATATAAATCAAATCCATAAGACATGCCCCAAATTAATAGAAAAACGTTTTTTTTAGGGGAAAATTAGGTCTTGTTTTCTCATAAGTGAACAATCAGGAGGAGAACATCAAGGACATGAAATGAAGGATCTCCCACTCTCTGTAGAGTCTGCTGCCTCCTTCTGCCGGCTACCAGAATAATTTTTCTATCAGCAGTGGACAGTGGGCTTGGCTGTACCACGAGGAGCCAAAGATGACAGAGGATATTTAAAACCATACTTCTCATACCAGTGCCATTGCAACTATAGGATGTCTTCGAAATAGCATAAACTACTACTATATCAATACCTTCAGTTCACGTTATGCTATAGAATAACTCTTTACAAAGTTTTATTTAAGGTTTTATTTGTAACTATGAGGGATAATATTAATTTACATGAAAAAAGAAAGAAAACTTGCCTTTCCTAAATTACATAATCTACACTCAGTATCAAGCATAAAAAAATGTAGCAGAGGCATTACTGGATGACAAAAAAACATCTTTTTCAAAAGGAAATGTACAATGTTTCTGGAGTTTGCCAGCTTCACCACGTATCAGCAAGATAATTGGGAATGGGGAGGAAGAATCATCCAATGACTTTATCATAAAAATGGAAACAAAAGTACCTCCTCTGTAGGGTGGCTGGCAAGATTGAGTGAGTGAGTTAGTATGGAAGGCATCTAGTGGCCTGTGGGGCATAGACCAGACACATATTACTTGTTAGTTAACTCACCCATTCCCCTAGAACTATCTACAAATTGCAGTTTAATAACAAAGGTATGGCACCTAAGTTGAGTCCATGGAAGCTATTTTAGAATGTGCCAGAAGAGGGTGCTAAATCAAATGCAACTATCTAAAGACAGCAGGGAAGCAGTGAATTTCTTAGGGCTCTGAACTTACAACTTACAGCCTTCTCCTCTGCTTGACCAAGCCGAGTCCACCCTCAATCTTTCCGAGAAATCTATTTAAGACACTTATCAGTGCTGCGGCAAAGACTCACCGATAAAATGCTGTCAGAGTCAATCCTAAAGCCTTCTGACTTCTGCACTCCAGAAATGACATCTCAGAGAGATGTTACCACTGCCCTCCCTGACACACACACTCTTAAGCACATGACCCCAGACTATAAAGAAAGCAATGTGTCTTGAACAACGCAGATGTGGTGAAAAGCAGATTAAACAACATATGTAAAGGTACCCTGGAAAGCATGAAAGTCAAAGAAATCTGAGGGATCGTTTTGGAGAGTGCTGGGATTGGCGTAAGATAAGAAATTAACATAAATTAGCATTTATTAAATACCTACGCCAGACATTGCATATCTTTTACACAGGACCCAGATTTGCCCTAGGGTATATTCCATGAGGTGGGTATTATCATCTTTATTTTACTCGAAGTTGAGTATGTATTCTATCTTTGTGACATGTATATAAACACATAAACATATGCGTACACACACATCTATAAAATACCTGTGAGCCCAAGTTTCCTAACTTATGATATCTACCACACAGGATCTTACAAAGAATATTAAACACGGAAGGAGAAATGGCACTTTTGCTAACTGGTTTACTATGTGGAGAACAGGATCACACATAACTTTATGTAACAAATAAATCTGTAAGTAACATTCTTCCTCTAAGAAAGGTCAGGAATAAAGATTTTATATGAAACAAAAACTAGGAAGGGAGAAAAAAAAAAATCCTCAAGTCTGGGAAAAAAAAAAAAAAAAAAGACCTGGAGGAAATTTCCTGAGGACAATCTTTGCCTTTGTTGCTTTCTGAATAGCAGAGCAGTGCCCTCTGTTCAAGAGAGGTGTTCCCATGGGCAAAGAGGTAAGAGCTGTACTTTTCTCTACCTTCTGCTGCCATTGTGAAGGGATGAAAGGAAAGTTAAACTTGATGAGGTTTCTAATAAATGATAATTATATGCATTCTCAACGACTGGCAAATTACCTGGGCTAAATGCCATTTCTGGAAGCTTCACTTCGAAGATGATGCTGTGGGCGATGTCTCTCACCCCCTGCATGGTGCGGTCTCGGAAGCAGAGGACTTCAACAGACTGGAAACTGCTACTCCTGATGTCAGGTGCCAGGTTTTAATTAATTCATTTTTTTTTTTTTAAGGAAGGAAAAGAAAGAGCTCTCATAAGAGCTTCAGCAAAACCAGTTGGAGTATTCAAAGCATTGTAATTATGCCTCCCTGACACCCCTGGGGCATGGTTTTAACCTCTGAGAGATTTTGAATGCATACACGTATGCTCTCCTTTGTCCAAATGTTTAGAGGCTGAGCAGTGAGTTGGCTGTGATTGCCTTCTAAGTGAATTTTATATAACAATCATGTTGCAAATAAATAATTCTAACAAATGAATCATCAATGCAGGGGAAAAGAGATTGCAAGATGTTAAAAAGAACCTCTAAGACATACATGGTTTCTTCTGGGCCTCCTTCTCACTCCCTGAACTCATATTCTGTGAAACAGCACCTCAGTCAGTACTAGTTAGGAGGCCTGTGTGCACTCTACAGACTCACCACCTGGATAAGCAAGTGTAACCATTCTCCCTCTGGGGAAAATCTATAATTTAGCTATCTTCATTTGTTTTAAGCACTTTTATGTAACTAAAACAGATACAAAGACAAGTACACAAATCTTAAATATAAAGGAGCTCATCTCATGCCTTCTCCCAGTCACTGCCCACCCCCCCTTCAAGAGTAGCTACTACTCTACTGTCCACGTCCATTCCTGGGTTTTGTCTGGTCTCATCTTTACCTAGAAGGAATCACAGAGTACCTATTCTCCTAGGTCCAGCCTGTTTTACTCAACATTAGGTCATCCGTGTTGATACGTGTATCAGTATTTCACTCAGATTCGCTACAACATCACATTCCATCACAATGAATACACCACAATTTCTTATCCGTTTCATTGTTGAAGGACATCCGGGTTATTTCCGGTGTTTGATTATTAAGAATACTGCCGCTATAAAAATTCTTGCACGTGTGTTTGCTTGTATCTATCTGAGTACACATTTCTGTGCATTATGTACCTGAGAAAGAAATCACTGAGCCACAGATAGTTTTAACTTTGGGGGATGCTGCCAGTTTCCTAGCAGTGTTTGAGGGCTCCAACTGATTCACATCTTTGACAACACTTGGTACTGTCATCTTTTTTAAGTCATTTGGTAGGTATGTAGTAGTATCTCAGCATGGTACCTCATTATCTCTAATACTGAGTAGTATCTCATTATATTTTATGTCCACTGAACAATGATGTTGAGCATCTTTTCAAATGTATACTGACCTCTTAGATACCCTGTTTTCATTATTTTAGGGCTAGGAGAAAAGGAAGATGGTAACAGTAGGATAATCCAATCTGAGAGTGACCCAGACAGGTGGAGGGAGGGGCTGGAGAATTTGGGGACTGGGACCTCTGGGTGATTGCCCCTACTCTGAAATATCTTCACTGCAGTATGGTCAGAATCTGCAGCTCCATAACACACCTACTTAGGGGTTCATCATTGATGGAAATTGGATCATGACTGACTTATGGATTTATTATCTGGTTTCCATGCCAGAAATGAAAACATGCATTTGGAGGAAAAAAGAGAAGATATAGGCAGACACAATGTCCAAAATAGGTAGACTGAGACACACAGACAGACACAGACAGAGACACAGACACACACATGTAAATACCATCGGTGGGCTGCTAGGACCAAAAGATTCCTCAAAGGCCATCCAGGGTGCTGGGCTAAGTTACAGGGATCATATACACCAATCGTTATCTGTGAACAGAAAAGACTTTGTGAGTGAGTCAAGCATTGTGTCGGTTTCACAGTACAGACACTGCTAATACTTCCTCTTGCCTTTATAGGCTGTTCTGCAAAAGCACTAAGAATTAGACACTTGATGAAGGGCTAGAGGGAAGAGAAGAAAGCAAAAGGATCTCACACCAGACCTCAGAACTTCTGGATGGAGGGGCTATAAAATTCTTCTCTGCACCACCCCAATGCCTTGCAGTAGGCCTGGCAGAGTAAAGAAGAAAGATTGCATGGGAAAACAGGGGGTGAGAAGACAATCAACTGTCAAGGCTCACATAGAGACCATCCTCTAATAAAAAGATAAAAATCTGTGAAGATTGCTAATGTTTATGTACTGAGAAAATAAAAGAAGGGCCACTGCCATTATAAGTCTACAGTCAGATGCTCTTGATACTGCTAACATATATTTCTTTCTACTCCTTCCCCCTCCAACTCCCTCAACCCTGACTTCTGCCTGGAAAACTCTATTTAACTTCAAATACCATTTCTTCAGTGAAGACTCCCTTTAGTGGGAACAGTCACTCTGTCCGTTGTGCTTCCATAGCAATTTGTACATTACACATACCATTTTTCATTTTCTCTTCTTCCTTTCAAAAGACAATGAGCATGCAGCACCCAGATCTTAATTTCTAAATACCATCCTCCAATAAAAGGAATCAGGGCTCCTTGAATGCATGGCTAATTCTAGGGCTGGAACAGGGAAAACACAGAGACTGTAGCATCTTGTATACCAGAGAGTAAGGAAGGGGGTGCAGGTGGCATAGTCAGCTAAGTGTCTGACTCTTGAGCTTGACTCATGAGATCAGGTCATGATCTTACAGTTTGTGAGTTCAAGCCCCACATTGGGCTCTGTGCTGATAGCATAGAACCTGCTTGGGATTCTGCCTCTCCCTTTCTCTCCCCCTCCCCAGCTTGTGTGCATGCATGCAGTCTCTCTCTCAAAATAAATAAACTTAAAAAAAAAAAAAAAGTAAGGAAGTGCTCAACAAACAAAAGCATGGGGGCACATCAAGGGGACACAAGAACCAACAGAAACAGCATTCGATGGCCAAGGCTGGAACCATCTGAGCAACAAAATAAATAACGTGGTATTGGATTATAATGCAAAGTATTAAATAAATACCTAGGAGTCCACACTGATACAAATAAATGATGGGATAAACAAATATATGAAGGTGAAGAGACAAGTCTTCCTTACAGAAGATTTCCAAACAATATATACAGATACTGCCTCCTCCAGGAGTAGAGCTTAATCGTTCTCCTCCTTGACAGTGGGCCAGACTTAGTGACCCACTTCCAAAGAAAAAAACAGTAACCACACAATGGAGAAACCTGGCAAAGACTACCTTAACCAAGTGGTCAAGTTTAACATCATCAGGGATGCCATGTGAATAGCAGGTACCCCTGATATGATGTGATGACCAGGGTATTTCACCTTAGTGGCACTCTTTCTCAAAACCCGTAACCCTAATCATACAAAAACATCAGACAAACCAAAATTAAGGGGCATTCTATCAAAATAACTGTCCAATACTCTTTGAAACTGTCAAGGTGATCAAAAACAAGGAAAGCCTGAGAAACTGCTACAGACCAGAAGAGACAAAAGAGCCATGACAACAAAATGCAATGTGGTCTCCAGGAATGGCTCCTGAAACAGAAGGAAGATGTGAGAAAAACGGGTAAAGGCTGAATAACATCTAGAGTTTAGGTAATAGTAACCTACTGCCAGTTTCTCAGTTTTGACAAAGGTACCATGCTAATGTATGGTGGTAACATTACAGAAAACTGAAGCTGGGAGAGGGTATATGGGAACCCTCCCTCTACTGTACTTTCAAATTTTTATAAATCTAAAGTTACTCCAAAATGAAAAGTGTATCTAAAAAAAAGAAGCAGCAAGCATCTAGAGAGCAGGGAGTATCTTTTTCATCTCCCCATGATCAGTTCATATATACACAGCAGATACTCAGTGAATGCATGCTGAATGATGAAAAGATGGATGGATGGATGGATGGAGGGAGGGAGGGAGGGAGGGAGGGAAGGAAAAGGGTGAGTGAGTGAAAGGAGAGAGAAAGTCAGGAAGGGAAGAAAGATAGCTGGGAGAGAACCATAAATCAACCCACAGGTTTCCTTTATGGGTGTATTTTTGAGTTAAATAAAAACACGGCAGAATTTTGGTTATTCTAGATCCAGTTAGTTTTATAAGAATGGGATCAGTCCAAACAATTCCATTTATTTACTGAAATGCTTAATATGTTAAACACAAAGCAGAATCTTAACCCATATTCAGAGAAAGGAAAGAAAGGAAACAAAAGAAGGAAGGAAGGAAGGAAGGCCTCTAAGATCACCATCCAGAGAAAACCAACATTAACACCTTGGTGTGTAACCTCCCATAACTTTACCTTTGAATAAATATATTTTATTAGTATAACTTTTGTATAATTATTTTAGTATATAATTTTTATTGCTAAAGAAAAATTATATCATGCTATACATACTGTTTTATATCTCTTATTCTATTGTGAATTCTCTTCTCTGCCAATAAATATCAGTCTACAATCACTGCCAATAGTGGCTGAAGAGCATTTCATTGTTTTGGTGTACAGTAACTTTTTTCTATTTCCTATTGAAGGACAATTAATTAGCCTTCATCTGTGCTCAGTAAAAATATCTGAAAATGAATTTTACTATTGTCTTATCAGACAATTATTGTATTATTTGAAGGATATTCTGTTTTTGCTACCCTCCCTGTATGAAATGTTCTTACTCCTAACACTAAACATTTTTGCCTAGATCCATTTCATGTCTTTAACGCACACAGAGAGATTCATGTTTAATTCAATGCAGATTCAAATGTATGACCATCATTTCAGGAAATACAGAATATCTTTATTTGAGATTTCCTTTTCCACACGAGATGAAACATCAGCATCCAGGAAGCTTTTACAAATAGAGTTTGCAGAGACTATTCTGAGTACTGTCCCCTACTACACGAGTGGCCTAGGGCAAATGAGTCAAATTCTTCAGGCCTCAGCTTTTAAAATCTGAATCAAAGCATGCACCTATTTCACGGAGAGGTAGTGAGGATTAGAGTGTGATACTGACATGAAACCCCCACCCGTGTAGTGCTGCTAATATTATTATCGGTGCCTTCAAATCCCCAGTCATGAGCCTCGCCTAAGTAATTCTGATGCAGTTGGACCTGTCCACAGACTTACTCTGCAAACCATTACAGAAGGTGGTCTTGTAGACAAAATAAAAAAAGCCTGGGAGGCCATTTTTCATTACCTTGAAAAGTCTGGATTGGCTCTATGTCTTTCCATTCTCTGTAAAATGTGGTCTATGCACCAGCAGAGCATCACCTGGGAATCTGTCAGAAATGCAGAATCTCAGGGGTGCCTGGGTGACTCAGTCAGTTAAGCGTCCAACTTTGGCTCAGGTCATGATCTCACAGTTCATGAGTTCAAGCCGAGTGTCGGACTCTGTGCTGACAGCTCAGAGCCTGGAGCCTACTTCAGATTCTGCGTCTCCCCCTCTCTCTGCCCCTTCCCTGCTCACACTCTGTTTCTTTCTCTCTCTCAAAAATAAATAAACATTTTTTAAAAATGCAGAATCTCAGACTCCCTGTCTCCAGCCTTGCTGGATCGGAATCTGCATTTTAACAAGGACCCAGGTGATCTGCAGTGAGTAGGGAGCACTACTCTGCCCCTCAACCCTCTCCAGCCTTGGTCTTCACATGTGAATGTGCAGGAGAATCACTTGGGAAGCTTTCAAAATTCCTGTTGCCTGGGTCCCATCTCCAGAAGTTCTCATTCATTGGTCTGGCACGTGGCTTGAGCATTAGTTGTTTTATTTAAAAGCTCCCCAGGTGATTCTAAAATACAGCCAAGTTACAAAGATCTCTTGAGAGTCTGTAGCGATTTCTCAAAGTATGGTCCACCACACACACACTCCCTCGGTACCATTACCCACGTGCTTTGTGACCTCCTCTGGTGATTCTTGTGTGCACCATCATTTTGGCACTAGCCACCTCAGGTCTAGGATTGCTTAAAATGGAGTTCATTGCATCCTATATTTTTCCCATGGTAGTTGTGATTATTTGTTAAACCAGGGTATTTTCTTGATTCAAAGGCACCACAGATTATAAAATCCACTCTCAAACTGTACAGAAAAGGAAATGTCACAACATCAAAGATACAAAACAACTGCAAGAAATTCCTGACTTCAGAAAAATTAAAATGTGAAGAAGAAAGCATTTTAGAATGGAGGTCATACAGGACACATTTCACATCTGTTTCTCTTGCTGGCCTCTAAGCTCTGTGAGTGTTGGAGCAAGGTCGTCTATCATATGCATCTTTCCATCCCTGGTGCCTGGCATGGTACCGGCTAGTCAGCAAACTGTGCCAAACAAATGACAGAACCGGCCAGTTTCTCCATGCCCCGCTATATGGAAAGCTCCGTCTCTCATGCCCCATCTTCAGGCAGGGATCCTGGGGGGCGGCCGGAGGGAGGTGATGGCTGAAGCTCACATCGAGGACCATGGTGCAGCATCTCAGCTGGCTCCTTTTCCTCCCCTGTCCTTTCTCAACAGCACAGGTTCTCCCTCCAGTGACATTTTGACCCTGGGATTCTCCTGGGTAAGAATGTGACAGTTTAATCTCACAGGGTTTGCTCTGAGAAGCGAGAGAACTTGAAGAATAATGTTTCCCCACCCAGGGCTCCCTATGAACAAAGAAGCTGTCTGCCTTGAATTCTTCTGGTCCTGTTTGCCACCACCACCACCTGGGACACTTTTGTTGCCTGCTGTCAATCATGACAGAAGGCATCTGCTGGACAAACTACATTTATTGATCATCGCTTCAACTTCAAATTTTTAAAAATTCATCAAAGACATGTACAACTCTATTATCCAGCAAGAAAAGGGGGAGAGGGGAGACACCTGCATTCTACTTCTGTGACATTTCAAGCAGCTTAGAAGAAAATGACCTGATGTGGTGAAAAAAGCTGATGTGGAGGTCAGCAGGCATGCGTCCTAATTCTACAGCTACCTGATTTTCAGCCTTGGGGTGTGAGCAGGCAGGCATACAAGTATAGGGGGAAAACAGACCTTGGAGAAGTGCTTTCCTCACCTATAAAATGGAGACGTTGTATCATTTCATCTCAAAGGATTCCTTCTAGCTTCAGAATTACAGAACTTTAAAGAACATTAAAGAGAAAAAAAATCCTATATAGGTTATAAGACAATATAAATTTCTTAGGTTCAATCTTACTGGGTGTCTAAAGGCTACTTAAGTTTTATTTGGGAAGAATCCAGATAGTACCAATTCAGAGAATACTTTTTGTATAGAGATTCTTGAGTTTCAAACTTTCAAATGTGACTCAATAAACCTGGACTCTTATCCAATGTCCTGAGTCACCTACTCTCATATGACCTCTCTATGCCAGGTTTCTCATCTTTGGAGAACTCCGTCTGGACACAGACACTGGAAACAAGGCAAGCACTTAATGATGTAAACTATAACAGCAATGTAAATAAACTCTATTGTAGTAACTTCACTGACCTCTCTGTTCAGTTCAATCTTACTGTTACATAGTTCTCTACCTTCAGTCTCAAGGTTCTCTTTTCCTAACCCGCAGAGAAAACAAGGGGATAAATTCCAGTTTATCAAATATTTTCTACATTTAGGTGTTATCATCTATAAATGCAGAGTTGGAAGTAAGTGAATTTATTTATTTATTTTGAGGGAGAGAGAGAGAGTGTATGTGTGTGAGCAGGGGAGGGGCAGAGAGAGAGAGAGAGGGAGAGAGAGAATCCCAAGCAGCCTCCACACTCAGCGGAGAGCCCGATGCGGGGCTCAACTTCATGACCATGAGATCACAAATGCAGGATCATGACCTGAGCCTATATCAAGAGTTGGACGTTTAACTGACTGAGCCACCTGGATGCCTCAGAACTAAGTGAATTTAAATTATAGAAGTTAGACTATCATATTAGATACTACAGGTGGGTGCCTAATTTCAAAGAATGAGCATATTTCTGACACTAAATACAAAAGGACATGAGGTAGGAAGGCAATAAGAAAAAAAAAAAAGAAATCTTTTTCTGAGTAGGAAAAAACAGGAATAAGTTTCTTAGAGCAACCTGACCTAAGAGGAGCTACAGGGCTGGAATGAACTGCTAAAGAGAAATCTATCACCCATAAAGGGAGGTCGACGTGGAGATGCTTCAGAGTAACTCTCTTACCCACGTGAGGCATGCATGAGTACAAAAAGCAAGCATCCAGACAGGAAAATGACGGAACACATTTGACATGAGGCTGAACGTCATTTAGTATTTCTTTGATGATTCAAAAGTGATTTCAAAATCTTTAAGTGCTTTCAGAACCAAATCAGGTACCTCAATCATTGTAGGAATTATTAGTCAGCACAATGCTAGGTAGGCCAGCTAAACTGTTTGGGTAAATAGATTTTTTTTGTTTGGTGGTAGCAGCAGTCGGAAATAACCATGGGATAGGAGTTCTGCGTTCTCCAATTGGCTTTGCCACAAAGTCATTCTGTGAAGCTAGGCAAATCACTTCTTTTTATCACACAAATCAGTAGAAAAAAACAAAATGTAATTGGAAAAAAAAAAACTTTGTTTATAAGGCTGACGAAATAAATGCTCCTTTCTACTTGGCTGAGAGCACACAATTCACTGAAGTGGTTCAGTCATGTTCTGGCTATGGTCCACCCAGCTATTTGCTGAAAAAATTCAATGTGAGAAAGAAAAGAGGGTGAAATTGTCAACTTGAGTACCCTGGGCTAGAGAAATTTCCACACTGATCCCATAAAACACACTTCTCTGACAAATGGACATCTATTACTCAAACACTTGATGTAACAGGAAATGCGCAAAGGTGATTACATGTTTTAAAAGTACAGGACAAAAATTCAAGTATCTAATGCACAGCGATGTCACAGACAGCTGCCAAGATGTGGAGTTTGCTAAGTGAAGAAATAGCCCCGCTAATAGCATACCAATTGCTGCTCCTTGGCCATCACTCTTGTCCGAAGATTTTTAAAACCCTAGAATTAAAGGCTAATGTTGTTAAAATTACAAAATGTATCCCAAACATCCAATCTTCAATGACTACTCTGAAGACAGCAGAAGACCCAAGCAAGCTTTCCTAAAAGACTGGCAACAGAACAGTGATATGGGCTGTTTTTGATGGAATCACAAGCAGTGGCTTGAAAGACAACTAATTGTTGGTGATGCAGCGTCACTGTGACCAGTGTGGAATAACATTTCGCTGAGGGAAATAAGAACTTAAACAAGGCCAGTCTTTAACCGATGCAGATGTGTAAAATGTGTAACATCCCAATGCTGGTAAAAGGTGCATGGCTGGCAGGAGGGCAAACTGCAGAGTGTGTGAGTCCCAGTTATAATAAGCAATGGTGAGCCAGAGCTGGCTGGAACAGAAAGGGGAGAGCCAGCTGTTACCAACTCTCCCCATCTCTGCGCTCTGGGACCTCACACTGGTAGCCTGATGCCGGCCACAGCGGGAGTACTGGAACCCCAGGAAGAAGCAAACGCTACACAGTCAGGGTTTTGCCCCACCTGAGAGCTAGCTGTCAAACACTTAGCAGGACACTACCGATGGGACACCTTCAAGTGTCCAAACTCTTTAACCCAGCCATTCTGTATCTAGAAACTCTTCCTTCCCAAGAAATAATTCAAGGTAAGTGGGGGGATGGCAGGAATTTGATGCACAAGGAGACTCCTAATAAGGAAGACGTATGAGAAAACTATAAGTCAAAAATGTCACGTTATCTATCTATCTATCAGAAAGGATGTTGATACAGACTGCGACAGTATTATGCTAAAATCTACAATAAAAGAGAATATAGTATAATCTTAGTCTTTGAAAAACAGGAAAAGATTAGTAGGAGATATACAAAATGCTTACTTAAGAAACAAAAACTTAGGGGCGCCTGGGTGGCGCAGTCGGTTAAGCGTCCGACTTCAGCCAGGTCACGATCTCGCAGTCCCTGAGTTCGAGCCCCGCGTCGGGCTCTGGGCTGATGGCTCAGAGCCTGGAGCCTGTTTCCGATTCTGTGTCTCCCTCTCTCTCTGCCCCTCCCCCGTTCATGCTCTGTCTCTCTCTGTCCCAAAAATAAATAAACGTTGAAAAAAAAAATTAAAAAAAAAAAAAAGAAACAAAAACTTAAAATAATAGTTGAATGGCTTTGTGAGAATTTAAAAGCAGAAAGAGGCAGCTGGAAATTAAAATAACGAATGGAACCATACTTAGTGTAGTTCATTTATCTGACAGTATTCTCAAACTTGGCACACAACATTGTCCAAACTACAGTGATGACCCATTTTGGAGTCCAAATCACTTAGTGGATCACAACTGGTATTTTTCAAAAAGACAGAAAAGAAGAGGATAGAAAATAGAGCGCAAAGCACTGAAGAAAGTATTATTTTGTGAAGGAAAATGCTAATGTAAATGGGGAAAAAATGTACTTAAAGAAAGTATCTTAAGTTCAGGCTAAGGAATAATAAGGACATCAGTTAGAGGTCTCTCTTTTCTCAACTCTGATATGTCTACATGGCTAGTGAAATTATCCTACTTGATTTCACGACTTCATAAAATTCATTAATTTTTTATTTTTAATTTACAATCTCTTATATGGCTGAGATAGCTTACTACATATCTCATTACTTATAAAAGACACTCACAGTACTTTTTGATTCATTCAGAAAAATTTTTATTGAGGACCTAAGACAAGTGCTAGACACTATGGAGATGCAGATACATAAGACACAGTCCTGCCCTTGGGAGCTTACTATCTAGTATGGAACAAAAGTTATTTGACAAGGGAACAGAAAAGTAAATGAAGAACAGGGAATAAATGTAGTGAGATCAGAAAAGGGAAGATCTATGAGAAGGCTTCACTGTGGAGCTAGGATCCCAACAAGGAGAGTTTCTTAAGATCTTCACAGGTAGAGATTTCAGATGACACAATGCAAGGTCAAAGAGAGATATAGAAAAAGTCCTAGGTAGACTTGATTAGTCGGTGGTGGTGGTGGGGTTGTCTAGTTAAAAACAGGAAAACCTGGGGGGCGCTTGGGAGGCTCAGTTGTTTAAGTGTCTGACTTTGGCTCAGGTCATGATCTCACGGTTTGTGAGTTCAAGCCCTGCTTCAAGCTCTCTGCACTGCCAGCGCAGAGCGTACTTTGGATCGTCCATCTTGCTCTCTCTGTTGCCCCCTCTCAAAAATAAAAATAAACATTAAAAAAAACCCAACAACAACAGGAAAACTTGGTTGGAACAATGGTTTATGAGGAAAATAGTGGAAGAATGAGGCAGGAAAGGTGGCTTGGAGCCAGAAGGAAGACACCATTAACTTGTGATCATTGAAAGATAGGGTGGATGTGAGCAGTTTAAAGCAGATTCTTCTATTGTGGTGGTGTGCAAGACGGAAGCAAAAAGACTAACTGTCCAGGAGAGAGGTAAGCAGGGCCTGAAATACGTGGTAACTCTAGAAATAAGTTAAAATATAGATGCAAAATACAGTGCAACAAAAACTGAAATAACTTTATCACTAATAGGGAGTGAGGAACCCAATAGGAGGTGAGCTAGGAAAATGGAGGAGAAAGTGATCTGGGAATGGCAGGGGGTGGGAGAGGGTGAAGACAAAGAAACGTTGTACAACATTCTTTGGAGGGCCAAAGAAATCTGAGTTTGAATTGTGTAGTAGTCTATCATAACATGAACATCAGATTTTTTTTTTAATGGATGATAAAATGAAACTCAGAGTTTCTCTGACCTTTGTCCTTTGGTCTTGGAAGAAATCACCGTAGTGTTTAAGCAGGGAAACCAGCACCACTTTCTCATCATACTTGATTAAGAAGTAAGGTAGCGCTGGGACTCCTTCTGTTTGACAAAGATCATCATATGCACGCTCAAGGGCTTGAATCTAAGAACAGGAAACATTGAGTTATTCTCCAATCACATATCTAATTCTGAGCTAAAAATTAACATAAAAGGTATTTTCAAGCCAGAAGACTGGAAATGACTGAGCATACCCGTTACTCTTTTGCAGCAAATGAACACAGAAGTGCCCCCCAAATAATACCACTTCACCTCTGTGTTAACACTTCCCATGTGCATGGTGGTGTCTTAGGAGCACAAGGAGACATTTTTATGGTGCAGCATGGTGGTTCCCTAAGATGTTAACCACAAAGGTGTACAGAGAGAGCTCCAAACATTATTTAGCTCCTGTAATAACCAAGCACTGAATCCATCACTGATTAATTTTACCCTGAACCTCTCCACAAAATAACAGCATTATTGAGACACACCTCACTTATTATATAATTCACCCACATAAAATACATAATTGCGTTTTAAGCATGTTCACAGGATTATGTAACCATCAACTAATTTTAAAGTTGCCTTTTTTTTTTTTTTTTTTTTTTAAGTAATCTCTATACTCAATGTGGGGCTTGAACTCATGACCGTGAGATCAAGAGTCAGATGCTTTTCCAACTGAGCCAACTGGGAGCCCCATCAACATAACGATTTTACAACATGTATGTCGCTCTTAAAAGAAATTCCATATCCATCAGCAGTCAGTCCTCGTGGCGTAATCCTTTTCCTCTACTTACACTTGTTCTTGGGAAACTAGTTCCACAAAACCACAACCTTTGATTTATACTAAACAAAATTACTAATTTTTCATCAATAAGGGTTTCTCCCTGGTGTTAGAATCCATGGTTTAATGACTGACATGCTTCATGAATCCAAATCATCTTGCCACTCAAACCTTGCCTCAATGACAATCAGAATATCTGGTTGAGGGTTTGTGTTGTACTAGTTTGATTATTTTTATTGCCCTCCTTCAGACCACCTCTTTCTTATGGTCTTCCTTAGACCACAAAGACTACCTTTGTGTGTACCATTCCTGATGTAGAAGTTCCACAACTTGGTGTGAGGGTAGTGGAATGTCTTCTATTTGGTTTCAAAGACTCTCTTCCCAAAGTATACTAGTGCCTTGGAATCTTCTACAATGAAAGTGAAAACCACATTTTGGCAAATTCTTGCAGACTTTCAACATGTTCCTATAGCTCCTCTACTGGCTCAGCCTTTCACCAAATGTCACTGAATACCTGGAAAAGTATCTTGGACTACTCCTTTGGAATGATTCTACAAACATTTTATAAATAAGTCTGCTCCTAGTGCCACCTTTGGAGGATTCCACAGTGACCAACTCTTCATTCAGACAACTGCCTGCCTTTAGATAAAGTACTCAAGCTCATTAAGTCCAATTTTACCTGCATTTTGCTTTATTTGTTGATACCTGTTTTGGTGAAAACCTTTGATCCAAGCCCACTGGCCCCTGAATGAGGGGTAGACTCTCTGGAAGGCAGAGAGCAGGGAAGCAAAACCAATAGTAGAAGTGGTACTTCTTTAGATCCTAGAAGAAAGAACATAAGAGGATTATAACCAATGATGAAACTGAAATGCATTCATTGATGTAATTCCCCAACACCACTTAGACACATTGAGGCGCACAACATAGAATCACCTGGTCAGAAAGTCTTATCTCCAACAGAACTCAGGATAGAATACAGAATTTCTGTCTTTCTCCTAAAATATACCCACACACCAAACAATCATATATCATGATAAACATATTTATCATCTACTTGCTAAAGAAAGTGTTGGGGCGCCTCGGTGGCGCAGTCGGTTAAGCGTCCGACTTCAGCCAGGTCACGATCTCGCGGTCCGTGAGTTTGAGCCCCGCGTCGGGCTCTGGGCTGATGGCTCAGAGCCTGGAGCCTGTTTCCGATTCTGTGTCTCCCTCTCTCTCTGCCCCTCCCCTGTTCATGCTCTGTCTCTCTCTGTCCCAAAAATAAATAAACATTGAAAAAAAAAATTAAAAAAAAAAAAAAAAAAAAAAAAAAAAAAAAAAAAAAAAAAGAAAGTGTTGACAATTATCATCATCACTGTGTAATACACAAAACCATCCCAAGAGGTAACTATTATCCCATTTTACAGACAGAAAACTGAAGCTTATAGGGGGGGTGAAGGAAAGAACTTCAGCCAAACAAAGATATTGATTAGTGGAGAGGGAAGCAGAATTCCATTTCCAAACTATCAGCTTCCTCCGCAGAACCACACATACTCAACGACCCTTCTGGGGAGGCACAGCCACCAAACGTGGTTATCACTCTTCACAGTCAAATGAATTAGCATGGTATTGAAGAAGCTGTGCCATCCATAACCTATATATGCCTGAGATAATAAAATGCTGCTTTCAGAAATACTTTGTTGGTGAAATTCAGGTCAACAATTATTAGGCACTTGCTATGTACAAGGTAATACATTAGACACTCTGACAATAAGAAGATAAATAAAACCCAGTCCAGCCCTTGGGCAGCTCACTCTCTATACAGGCGGAGATAAAGTGAGTCATGAGTCACAGAAGAGGTTCTAAGAGCAAAGGAGCATCAGCGATATGAGATTACATCTTCAGGGGTATATTTGATGGCTCCCCCACCAGGGGAAGTGAGGCAGGGGCAATGACTCATGAAGCTGTTCTAGATAACTGTTTCCACCCAGGTTGGATGCTTTTGCCCTGAACTCTTGCAGCCTTTGTGGCCTGAATCACTCATATTATGGGATCTCACAGTTATCTCAGTGTCTGACAGCTTCTCCATCAGTCTGTTTATTTGGCTATTCAATGTTTCTTCTTTAATCTTACTAAGAATAAACAATAGATAGTTGTTTGATGACTTTTTGAGACAAAATTCATATACCATAAAATTTACCATGTTAAAATATACACCTGAATGTTTGTCTGGGGGTACTGACAAGGTTGTACCACCATCACTCAATTGCAGAACATTTTCATTGCCCCAAAAAGAAAACTCCAATAGTAGAAACTCCCATTAGTTTATTAATTAGAAATACCCATTCACAGAATTCCCCATTCCCCCTTCTCCCCAACCCCTAGGAACCACTAATCTATTTTCTGTCTCAATGAATTTGACTATTCTGAGATTTTCATATAAATGAAATCATACTAGATAACTTTTTAAATAAATATAAATATATACATAAATGTGTGTCTAGATGAGAAAGCCTAGTCATTATAGATTCCAGTCTCTAATTCTGCCATTAATTGATCAACTGACAACAAATTCCCTTTTGACAACAGCAAAACAAACTACAAAATAGAAATTAATGAAGTGCCTGTTCCTTTGAATCCTAAAAACAGCAGAAAGAAAAGCAAAAGTACCTCCAGAGATTATACTCTCTTCTTTGTATTTAAATGATTTGTCATAACTGATCTTTAGTCAAAGGTTAAACAATTCAAGATGAAGGACTTCATAATTTCTAAGAAGCTTTATCAGATCATCTTCAAAAGTCAAAAGGCTTGAATTTCTTAGAATTCTTTTCAGGATACAAAGGATCTTGATAAAATTAAACACAAAGCCCTTTGTATTTGAAGATTTTAAAAGACAGAGACTTAATTTTTTTTTTTAAGGTAGGCTAAGAATGGTCAGTAAAAAGGGCAACAGGGCCAATACATGCGCTAACTCTAGGAAATGCCTTAAGACTTTAAGAGCTAATGTTATTTTTCTTATTAAATGCAATTTGTCGATTCTACTAACTAGAATTCTTGGTACAGAAAATATATTGATGTTAAAATAACAAACCCAGGGGCGCCTGGGTGGCTCGGTCGGTTAAGCGTCCGACTTCGGCTCAGGTCACGATCTCTCAGTCTGTGAGTTCGAGCCCCGCGTCGGGCTCTGTGCTGACAGCTCGGAGCCTGGAGCCTGTTTCCGATTCTGTGTCTCCCTCTCGCTGACCCTCCCCTGTTCATGCTCTGTCTCTCTCTGTCTCAAAAATAAATAAACGTTAAGAAAAAAAATTAAAAAAAAAAAATAACAAACCCAGAAATCTTTTTTTTTTTTTTTTTAATTTTTTTTTTCAACGTTTATTTATTTTTGGGACAGAGAGAGACAGAGCATGAACAGGGGAGGGGCAGAGAGAGGGAGACACAGAATCTGAAACAGGCTCCAGGCTCTGAGCCATCAGCCCAGAGCCTGACGTGGGGCTCGAACTCATGGACCGCGAGATCGTGACCTGGCTGAAGTCGGACGCTTAACCGACTGCGCCACCCAGGCGCCCCAAACCCAGAAATCTTTAACTAGCACCACTTATCTCTCTCTTAGTGGCAGATCTACATAACTGCTCAAATTTGCAGACAAATTATTAATGCCAAATTGCAGCTAGTAATCTCATGAAGAATTTAAACATTTTTCTATCTCCCCCACTATTACACAGAAAGCATTATAACTCGTTAGGAAATGTGCTCCTTATAGATAGCCAGCCTTTGGCATGACCTTCAGTATGACTTTTATCATTCTCTCCTTTGCCTTGGGCAGCAAATCAGGCAGCATTCAGAAGAAACAGGATTAGTTCATGGGGCAGGAAGAAAGGTAAGACCTATAACTTGGTGAAAGAAAGAGGTTAGTGGAGGAGAGGGGGGAGGGGAGGATGAAGGGGAGGGAAGGGAAGGGAAGGAAAGAGGAAAAGAAGAAAATAAAAAAAGAAAGAAAGGAAGGAAGGAAGGAAGGAAGGAAGGAAGGAAGGAAGGAAGGAGGAAGATAGATAGATGTGGGGAAGAAGATTAATATTCAAAGCTGATGAAGCTGGTAAAACAGTACACTTAATACACATCAACGTCGATACGTTTATATGCCTTCTCTAGAGAATTTATCCTAAAGAAATACAATGAACAGGAAAAAAAAATCAGTATGGCCAATATTGTTCACTGCAGCATTTTACAAAATAGTGAATATTAGAAACAACCTAGATGTACAAGAACCTATAGAACATACACTTGACAGAATATTATATAGTCAACCTAATTATAAAGGCTAAATTCATTTCATATGTAGATATATAGAGACATACACTCATGTACATACATGTGTACATACACCTGCGTGTATGTGTGTTAAGTGTGTGTGTGTGTGGCTCATATCTCTATCATCAACCCTTTCATTTCCCCATATCACCCATCACCAAGACCAGGTCCTTCCCCCTACTTCCCTAGGCATTAGATGTTACATTTACACAAAATTTTTTTCTTTCTTAAAAAACCACAACTGTTGGGGCACCTGGGTGGCTCAGTCGGTTAAGCGTCCGACTTCCTCTCGGGTCATGATCTCACGGCTGGTGAGTTCAAGCCCCACATCGGGCTCTGTGCTGACAGCTCGGAGCCTGGAGCCTGCTTCTGATTCTGTGTCTCCTTCTCTCTCTGCCCCTCCCCCACTTGTGCTCTGTCTCTATCAAAAATAAATAAATGTAAAAAAAATGTTTTAATTAAAAAAAAAAAAAAAAAAACCACAACTGTGTGGACAAACTATGTAGAGCAGTGTGAACTCCTCTAGTCCAGAAGCTGCTGGAGGATAGCCGGGATCCCCAAGATGTCATCTTTTTCTTATGGTGATGGACCCAGCAACTGAGCCCCACAGACTATACTGAATAAAGACTTTAGCAACAAAGAACCACTACTCCCTGAAGCTGATTTTATTGTGTCCTGAATAACAAGACTTGCATCACTGTGTTACATAAACCATGCAGTATGTAAGATCAGTAAGAATGAATTAATTTCGCACCGGTGATAAGTGCCAGCGCCTTCGGGCCACTAATCAAATGAGTGTTTCTTGACCAGATCTGATTTAAATAACACCAGGTAATAGCTTCAGTGAGAAGTACACAGACTGCCCTATTGGCACCCAGGGCTCGGCCAGGGCATCTCAGCAGTCTAAATGTGACCGAGATTCTATTTACTTACTGCAAATGTCAAGAGGAGGAACTTGTTGAGGAGGACAGGGTTTTCGAGGGCAGCGCCCGATTTTACGGCTTCCCAAATCTGCCAGAAGAAAGAGAAGTGTCAAGGCAGGTTCTCAGGCCTCTCTGAGTTTCTCACTCTCAAGACAAGCACAGAGGTGAAGAGCACCAGGGCCCAGCACCACTCATCCCAGGCAATAAAGTGGGTTGTTACCTCACTCTGGCCACTTTGCACGGCCTCTCCACCAGCCACACTCCATGAGGGGCCTGGGGAAACTGAGAGAACGCAGAGTGCTCCTCTCAGTGAGTCTCAGCATCCAAGGAGGCAACCAGGACATTTTCACGCCTTCATTATTTCCTTCAACAAATATTTACTAACTGCCTATTATCTACCAGGCACATCAGGATTACAGAATAAAAGACACAGTCCCTACCCTCAAGAAGCTTTGGGTCCCAGGAGGGAGACAGGCATAATTGTCTGAATGCACCACCAGGTAGGATGTGCTACCTCAAAAAGATGTGGAAATCTTGGGAGGAGCTCCGAACTGGGCTGGGGAGGTGGGAGGGAAAGGAAGCAGGAAGGGGTTCCAGGAAGCGGTGATTTGAACTAGGTATAGGGGATTTCTGGAAGTGCTGTTTGGGATTATCTTGCCCTGAGACAGGAAGGTAAGACAATGAGGAGTTGATGCATACTCAGCAAGTACTGTGGCCAGAAGCAGAAGCTGGCACTGGGCTGCAGCTGTTGATCACAAGATATTTTAGTAGCTAAGATTAGCTGCTATACTTTGTGTTACTAAACAAGACAAACGGTTGCACCCACAGGAGCCACTGGGTGGAAGAGGGAAATTAGCAAAGAGAAGTTCCTGCTTTTGACATGATCACCTTGGAGGAGCTAGACCAGAGAAGAGCAGGCCCCACTTCTGATAAACTGAGAGGGTGGGAACTGCTGGGGAGTGTGGACAGGGGTGAAGGCTGAGCCCCAGCACAAGGGGTGGGATTTCTGTGGGAAGCAATCTGTGATTTTTGATGGTGGATGAGGACCTGACCCAACTCTTTGGAGACAGCCTTTTAAATGTGCAGCCACAGCAGGAGCCCAGGAGCAGTTGAGTGGCAGGCCAAGGACAACCATCATCACCTGGGTCACAAGCTACATGCATCTCGAGGGATGTAAGGGATACCAAAGGCAGAAGACTTCCTTCTCTGACCATGGCACCAACATAAATAAGACTCTTTCGTTTAAGACTAGTGCGAAGACCACTCGATTAAGTGGGTTAGAGGGGATTGGGATAAACTGTCCTACCATTTTAATTCCTCACACTAACTCAGATATGAACAAGTTAAGGGAAAGACACTCCCGGCAGAGAGAACACCATGTCCCAAGGACAGAGGTGAGAACCAAAGTAGGTGGAGTAATTATAAGTGATTTGCTGTGACAGGGTCAGAGAAGGTGAGGGCAAGAGTGACAGGAGAGAAAAGCCACAGAGACCACAGAGGCCAGGCCACAGGTGCCTTGTAAATCAGATGGAATAGTTTATATTTAGCCCGAAGTATACTGGAGAGACTATGCGATCATTTCAGAGAGCATTATAGTGCTCAGGACTGGACTGGAAAGCCAAGGAGCACAAAGAACAGAGAACCCAAGGCCATGCAGACACAGGAATAGAACTCTCAGGGACAGGTCAAGCTGCTTCAAAATGCTAATTAGAGAGCAACAGCAAAGCTTTCACAACTGCCCTGCGATGAAACTCCTGCCTATGCCCAGCTGAGAGCCTGAATATCTTCTCCCTGACTTTCCCGCCAACACAGGAGAGCTGGGGAAATAAACCAAAGCCCACGACTATCTTCAAGTACCGACTATATGCTAGTTTCCATGACAGACGCATGCACCTGATCAGAGACACTGCACCTACCGAGACCACGGAAAACAGAACACATACATCATCTTTTCCCAGCTAACCTCGTCTGCTGCTTGTTCCAAAAGTAGCTTCTTATCTGCGGCCTTGAAAGCCTCGAGTGTGTTGGTGTTAAAGAGCGTTCCAATAGCCGGACAGCAGTGGGCTGGGGTGGGAGCACTCCTGGACACAGGAGAAACATGGTTAGGCAGGCACAGCCAGGACAGCAGTGGGAGACAAAAGACAGTGCTCTGTAGGGCAAAGAGAAGATCAACCACACATTTCTTTGGGAAAAGATGAATATCCTCGCTTAGGAACTAAAAATAGGCACTGCGCGCGCGCACGCACACACACACACACACACACACACACACACACACACACACACACACACAAAGCCTCTATATTCCCTTTACCCTAATCTCTTGGCATGTTGTTCTTCCACTGCCCCTCCTCCAGTATAAGTTGATTTCCTAGTTTTTACTCTTTCCCATCTTTAACCCGAAAGGGAAGCATCATTTATTGAACTTCTACTGTGCCAAGAACTACACAATGTTTGAATTTTCTTAACAGCTTTTTCTTTCAGTTAAAGCTTTAAGTAACTTGCCTAAGGTCACATAAAAATAGGCAGAGCTGGAATCTAAAGCCAGAACTAGCCCACTCCAAGGTACTGGGCTGCCTACTGCCTACTCCCCACTCAAACCCCCCAGGCTTCAAGGCCCTGCTCCAAACCCTCTCTTTCCAGGAGGCCCCTCCCATTTCCTCTGGTAATGGCTGGCACAGGAAACTGAGCATCCCATTTTAGATTGTCGTATACACCTAACTAGAGGACAGCAAGCTCCCTGCAGGCAGGGAACTTGTCTCCTTCTTATGGCTGTCCCCAGACCTCCCCAGCCCAAACAGGTTTCATGCAGAGCTGCTGCTAAGCAAACTCCTGGTGGTCGTCTGAGTCATACAGACAATATGTGTCATACCTGGGCTACCTACCAATCTGTTGTGTCACATGTGTGTCGCACTCTACACTGTCCCCTTATAGTCAAAATCAGGGGAGCAGAAGATGAGTTACTTCTGAATACAAATTCAGGTGTGGAAATATCTGGTCTCTTCTCTGCAATGACTGATTTGTGTTTCAGAGGTTACATACGCCTAATATTGTTGTCAATTACAACTACTGCAGAGAGAATATACATTTTTAATGACTGCGCTGATGGGAGCTGTATGGTTTCGAAGACCTTGTGTCTCTTCACTTGGAGTCTGTGTAAAACTGGGTCCACAAGGGCTGCAAGCAGAAGATCAAAACCTAGAAGAGGTGTGGAGGGGTGCAATGGGGGCAGAGGGCTCTGCCAAATGCTGTCTGTGGGGCTCAAATACCAAGTCCTGGGGAAAAGTAACTTTACATGGTCAGAGCCTTCCCTTGGAGGGTGACAAGTCAGCAAACAGGTTGCTTCTCACAATGCTACTCTAATAAAATATTTTTCAGCCATGTGATAGGAGGACATCAAAGACAGTCTTAAGGAGAAAGAGACATCAAAAAGGGGTGAAACTCAGCCTAGAGGGAGGAGGAAGGAAGCACAGTGGTTGGCACATTAGGCCTTCTACATTCAGACTCGGCTTCAAGAAATTACTGCTGAAACAGAAGGAGCAAACCTCTGAGCTAATCTGATACTAGCACAAGAGGAAGGTACCCTTCTTCCTAAGTGCCCGAATGTCCCAGGTGTGTGAATGCAGTATCAAAGTGTCATCACAAGAATTTGAGCAACTGCCAGCACACCGGCCAGGCTCCTAGAACATCAGTACTCATGCAAGTTAATCAGTGCGGACAACCGAAGTCTCAAAGGGGAAGAACTTTTCATGAGTAAAGCTCTACCAGGGGATGTGGCCAAGGAAATAAATTTAAAGGGTGATAGTGGGAAGGAAAGCCATTCTGCCAATCTCTCCAAGTTCAAGTTCACTTGTTCTGCACAGAAGTGGCTCGGATGAGGAGTGGAAAGAGCCCTGGACTTGGAAACAAGAGAATTTGGTCCAAATCCTGGATCCTAGATACATATTAGTTTAGTTTCCTACAACTCCATTGATATGAAATATCCAGAATAATCAAATCCATACACAGAAAGCAGATTGTGGTTGCCAGGCTAGGGGGAGGGGGCGGGGGACAGGGGTGGGAGAAGGGAAGAAGGGAGAGTAACTGCTAATGGGGTTAGGCTCTCTTTCCAGAATGATGAAAATGTTCTGAAATTGGTGATGGCAGCAGCTCAACCTGGTGAATACACTAAAAACTGCTGAATTACACATTTTAAAAGGGTGAATTTTGTGGTATATAAATTATATCTAAATAAAGCTGCTAGGAGATCAGAATTAGAAATCTTCGCCATATAGTAAAGCCAACAGTGAATTCACAATGATATACAGACTAACCAGGTAAAGAATTGATCTTAGAAAGGCCTCTAGCTTGGGCCTGCTTGGGGATGCTACTTCTAGAAACTTGGCCTTCACTTCACTCAGTCTCACGGTGCTTACTGTGGAAAGTACTGAAGCTGGTTTGCACCTGTTATTTACACCTGGCCAAAGGCAGGCATGTGGCCAGAGCTTCCAGAACACACAGGCAGGGTGGTGGCCAGGAGAGGATAAATCCCCCAAAAGAAAGACAGAGGCTGTTCTTCACACCTGGAGGAACCTTTGCTCCACAGGCACAGCTCTGCATGCCCTAGGAACCTAGGAAGTCATACTCAGCCTGGGGGCATGTGCCAGTATCTCTGCTTTCCCTAATAATCTGTGAGTTTCTGTTTGCAACATTTTCTAACAGAGTCCACCGGTGTCTCTCGACCACCCACACCACATCCCATTTTGACAGCCATGCATTTAGACTGCTTTCAAGATTTCAAGGTATTTGAGCAACTAACACACATCAGACGTGTTAGGGGCTAAGGAGTTAACGGAGACTAAGAGCCTGTGTCCCAGATGATTTTGCCTACGAGTCTTACATTCCTGAACTATTTTTTTAAGTTTTTTTTTTTTTTTTT